CCCCAAAACCCCAAAACCCCAAAACCCCGAATGTACATTTAGAATGCGATATAAGGAGAAACTAATTACAAAAATATTAATACTCAATTTATATACTAGCTATTTGATCTAAACATACCTCTTCATCTATTCCATCCAGTCAAGTCATCATCGTCTTCATCATCTTGATAAGTGGTCTATACTGGCTTCTTAGTTGGGGTCTTTTCTTTCTGCTGAGCAGTATTAATAGTGCTATTCTCCTCCTTATTTGCTGATACTAAGCTTCCTGGAGATATCATATCATCCTCTTTTTAGGTTTATTGCTAGCCATCGTTATAATAGTTAATCTATTGCTGGTTGTCTAGAACCTCCTCATATTGATGCTCCTAATCTGCATCATAACCTTGGTACTGATTTTGATAGTTCTATTCCTCGTATTGGTGATAGTTTTATGAAAGCGGGTCTTCATATTAGGCATAGTTTTAGTATTGATTATCCCCTTGATCTCCATCAAGTGGATAGATCTAATTACCATCTTAATCATATTAAGGTTCTGGCTAAGTATACTGCTGCCTTGGAGGCTACTATTATTGCTATAAGTTTTGCTTTTAAGGTGCAGTTTATTTTGCCTAAACTTGGATTACCTCCTTTTCTTTAGTAGCTTTTTAATCTATAGTGACTTTTTCCGTCAAATCTTTAGCCAGTTATTTAGATTTATTCTCCTCTTCTTAAACCTTTTTCTTTATCGATTCCTCATCATACCATATTATTGGTAGCTACCAAATTTTGATGGACTTATCTTTACTGCAACTTATAAGTTGTTATTTATCTTCCATCCAAATTAGTTATGTGATAGGACCTCCATGAGCTTGAAACACATAAATGGGATGACCTTCTTTTGCAGACCATACAGTAATCATACCATCTTGATTAGCTGTAATGATCTCTCGATTTCTTTCTCGCCATATAATACATCTGCAACCAGGTTTACCCTAAAAGTGAGCTATCTGTTTAGTGAATCTTTCAGATCTTGGCTTATTAATCTCAAATACTGACAAACTTCCATCTTGCCCTCCCCCAACTAAATAAGAGCCTCCATTGCTCACACATAGTCCTCTGATACATGCCTGTGACTGACTTTGCATTTTCACAAGGAGTTCAGGTGGGTGCTATATTGACTTTACTATAACCTATAACTTACATGATTTTAATTGTAAATATAGATATAGCCTTCAGCATCTGCCATTATGAAGAGAGCCTTATTAGCTTGATAAATCATCTGTTTTAGTGCTGATTTTCCTGGTTAAAGATCATGAACAACTGAATGCCCATGAATTTCAGTAACCTTAAATCTGCCGTCTTCTGCCACTGAATAGACATAGCCAAAGGTTTTATCTGCTGCTAAACCCATTACTCTTTTATTATGTGATTTCAAGACTTCATTCTAATTAAATACTGATAAAAAGAAGAATTCTGATTTACCTCTTAGAATCTCATATAGTTATACTCCTTAGGGATTTTAAATTAGTGAATTCTGCCTGAGTCAAGACCAACAAACAGTACCTCCATATCATTGCACCAGTATAAAACATTAGTCTACGAAATATTCTTAGTAAAATAGGATTAATACCTATGATGGGAAGGTCTTAGTCCACATTCTTTCGAAAACCCACTAATCATCTTTGTCCTATGTCACTTTATATACGCATATTGCTCCCACTCCAACATAGTTGTCTGTTTGTTATGTTGACTTTTCCCATGGAAAGGAAAACTATATATTTTTTCATCTTCAAAAATATTTTACATTAGTAAGATATGCGTCTAACCTAGAAGTAATATTCATATCACTCATTGCAATAAACATTAAGTTCTCCTCTTTAATGTAAAGCATATCTCTCCCACCTAGATTCAACTCACTAAATTCAGCTACTTTAACAGGAGTGTTAACTACTGATTCAGGCAGTTGAGTATCAAGCTCTAGGAATAATCTAAAGTGTGGATTGGTTCGCATGTCTTGTCTATTGACCAAATCCTACAGGGAAAAATAAGAAAATGAATTCATGAATTAATGCTTGAATGTTGTAATGAGAATAATATTATTACTCAGTGAGTTAACACTATGCTATGCTTGGTTTCTTACCTGCAAATAATGATGTAGCTCTTCTCTTCGCTTAGATAAATTTTCATTAGCCTTGATTTTAAAGAATGTCTTTCCAGGCAGTTTAGGAAGTTAGGGATATTTGGCTCTCAGGTCAGCATCAAGTTGATCAAACTGACTATATCTTTTCCATAGTTCCCAAGACCTACTGCCTATTTTGACTACTATTTTATAAAATACTGCTGGTTTCCCTTTGTCTAGTCTCTCTTCGTAAATGGGGAGTACGACCTAACAATGAATATTAATAAATCATTTGAAATGTGCAAGAATAAGAGTCTTACAATGAGTTCTTGAATGTTTTTGGAGAAAATAAGAGAGGTTGATTGATGTGTTTCTACCATTAAAAGATTAATAATTATAATTTTATTTAAGAGACTTTATAAATGGAAAAGCTGTAAACCAAGGACAGAGCCACCAAGGGTAACGAATCTCGGATTCGCTTCATTTCCCTAAATTACAGTTATAGATGGACTTAAGATCAGTAATTCGCAGGTCAAGAGACTCACAAGGGAGCTCAAAAATCTCAAGGAAGAGGTAAGTCTGATTCTATATAAGTCGGAATCTATTTTAATAAGATCGAAACATTATGAACTTTCTTTCGTCAAATGATATTAATAACCATCTCGAATAGTATGATAGTTTGAAGATAAAGTAACTGACATTCCATGGTATTGAAAATGATCCAGCTAAGATTAAGAATGATGCTAATAAGCTAGAAGCACTTAAAAAGGAGATAAAGTAAGGATTAACTTTAGAATTCAATTGGGTTTTAATGAAAATTATAGGAAAAAGGAACAATAAATTCTAGAAATTAAACTCGAATTGAAATGAAATAGTACTGCTAATTCATATGCAATTTAATAGACTTGATTTAAGTGAGCTATAAATTGCATGAAGTTTTAGGAGATAATATTTTATACCTATAAATTCATAAAAATTAAAATCCAATTCTCTTTTATCCCTACAGTTTTATGTTGTTTATATGTTCATCATGTAATTTCTCATCTTCCTCAAGACTACAACAATATGGCTATGGGGTTTTGGGGTTTTGGGGAGATCGGAAGAGCACACGTCT